TCATTTACCGTAACAATTAATGATTCACATTTACTTGATTATTTAGTTATTTGCTTGGATAAATCTGAATTCATGTCAATATATATATGAAATGCTATATATATTCAAAAGAAATATTTTTGGGTCTAATAATCTAATATTTTTGGGCTTTAGGTGTTCATTTTCAGAAACTATAGTAGTGCATCTAGTTTTGAACTTTCTTTATACAAAGACAACTCACATCTCATTTACCCTAGCAACTAATGATTCATTTTACTTGATGGTTTGATTAGTTGCTTGGATAAATCTAAATTCATGTCACCATACATGGAACATTGTATACATTCAAGAGAAAATTTTTCACTTGCATTGTTATATCTATTCAACCCTAAAGAAAAATTTTCAACTTTATCACTCATTGATCTCAACAAGGATTTGATGATGATTTCGAAGAGCTTAGGATCCCTTCATCCCCTTTGGTGGCCGAGTCCCTGATAGGAAGAGATTCTTGCAAAACTACAGCATGTTGGAGGACCGGAGATGAGTTCTTCAATGATTTCTCTAGCGATCAAGTCAATTATGATCTGAAGGGGTTCAATGAACTGCACAAGTTCTAAGTCTAAGTGTATAGAAACTGTGTTTCCTTGGTTGGTAAACAATGAACCTATTTATATCTAGCTGATGGGTGCGTTTATGTAACTTTGGCTGAGTTCAGGCGAACATTTGAATTGGCAAATACTTTATAGGTATCACCTGCAGATGATATGAATCACCTATATGCTAGATAGGAGGTATCGTGCTAACGGAGAGCAATGAGTCATGGAGACTTTTGGGGATAGAGCAATAATGATTCTAATCATGCATTTAAGGTGATGGTGACCGGCTGTAAGTGAAGAGTTCGAGGACAAACAACCTCTCGAATCAGTTCTAGAGTTAGGCCGACAAAGAAGTCCTTTCTAGTCGGCTACGAAAGTTGTCAACCTCATCATGTAGAACGATAGGATGTGGGGTGAGATTCGAGTTAGGACGTCTCTCGACTCAGCCTTTCTTTGGAATGTCGAGTGTTGAAGATGCTTGAGTCACCTTGCCTAGGGCGAAGTCGATCGGCGACTTAGCTAACATGGGACATATGTCAACTTCTGGGGGAGAATTAGCACTTAGGTTACTTGATGGCATAACATCACTCAACAATTTAAATTCAAATTTTAACAACTTTATTTTTTTAGCAAGTTATTGAAATTGATCCCAAATTTTATTAGATTTAGAATATAAATCATCGTATGTATCTTATACCTCACTTTTGGAGCTCTTCCATTCAGATTCATCTGAATTGCTATCTTTAGCCATGAGACAACAGTGTGCTATTTTTTCATCTTGCTTGAGCTACTCTTTGACCCTTCTCTTGTCGACACTTTGGAACCTTTGCCCTCCCCTTTATAGTCCTTTTTGTTCAGTGTATAATTCTTCCTTAAGTGATGTTTTCTACCCCCAAAAATAAGTTGTTTCAGTATCAGAATCATTAGAATTATATTTATTTAACTTGCTTGTCTAGTGATCCTATTTGTCATTTAGGAATTCCTGACCATCTTTTAATGTGAGGAAGAATTTGAACCATTTTAACAATTTGATCTACATCGTTATCTTCTTGTTCTTAGAACTTGAGCTCACATCTTTGTTTGGCTTGGCCTTTGATTTTTCTCTTTTCATTTTTAAAGCTAATGAGTTCTTCATATGTTTATTTTTTGAGTCATCCTCTTTTTCTTTCAAATGTTCTTCATACTTGAGAAGATTCCCTATAAGATTCTCAAGAGTTAGTTTAGAAAATTTTACAATTCTTTGATTTATGTGTGTGTATGTGTGCGTGTATGCGCGCGCGCGTGTATATATATGTACACACACACACTATCTTTAGTTCCTAATCCTTGAAAAGTGCACAAAGAAATTTTCTCACAAACTCCTTATTATCATTTTTTTCTCAAAAATTTTGATCTATTTACAATATCTGTAAATCAGGTGAACATGTCCTGAATACTCTCTGAGGACTTCATCTTGAAATTTTTGTACTTATTCACGAGCATTATAAGTTTTGCCTCTTTCATGTCTAAAGTTCCTTAGTGTAACTTTCAAAAGTAGTTTAAATTTTTCCACACAGTTAAACTCTTCAGTAATTTGAGAATAATATAGAGTGTTTATAGGTTTTGTATTTAAAGAATAAAGCTTTTATCATATGGGGACCATTTATCTCTATGAGTGATAATGGTGGTCTTAGCTACGACGATCGTAGGTTTACTATAACTAGCCTAAAAAATACTCCAAATATCAAAATTGGCGGACAATAAAATGAATTCCATATGTACTTTTTAATAAATGTAATTAATCCATCAAAAAAGTGGAGGTCAGTTAACTATGTGTCCCTTAGGAAAAGCTATTGTGGTGGTCAAACTAGATATTTCTATCTTAGGTCGTGAATCCTAAAGATGGGTAATGATACGATGCTCCACTACTACTTATTGGACCTAAAATGCAAACCTAGAGGGAAGGTGAATGGGGTTGCTACCATTTTCTCCAAAAACACATAATATGCAGTGGAAAAGAAATAACAAATGTGATCAATGATAATTAAACACAAATAACAACTAATAAAAACACACAAAATTTAATAGTGGTTTGGATAACATTTATATGTCCACTATTCATTCTTGCGAAGGGGTTTCCTCACTATACAAAGAGTTCTCCTGGATCACAAACTTAATTTAATAAGCATACAAGACTACCCCTTGTAATCTACCCAAAACCAGTCATCTAACCTAATTCGTCACAATGAGTAAAACCTAGTCGTACCTTGTCCCAATCCTTAATTCAAACTGGCTTAAGTATGTCTAAAAAATAAGTTCAAAGCAAAATCAACATAAGCAATTAAAGCACAGAGTATTAGAATGATCTTATAGCCTTATTTTAAACAAACCTTTCTTCGATGAATATATGCTTAGATCAATGAAGAGCAAAATACATAATCAATCCAATGACAGTTCTCCTTACTAAAAACAATCGGAAGATATTGTGAGCGCTGAATAATAGTTTATTAAGGCTTTGGATGTCAAATTCTTCAATGAAATCTCTCACAAATTAAAACCCTAGAATAATCATCCTCTCTCTCTCTCTCTCTCTCTCTCTCTCTCTCTCTCTCTAACACCCTCTCTCTCTCTCTCTCTCTCTCTCTCTCTCTCTCTCTCTCTCTCTCTCTCTCTCTCTCTCTTGATATAAAGTCCTTCATAGATCAGATCATGAAAGAGATATCCTAAATGTGATAGAAATTAGAGATACTATAAATGACAAACGACTATGATGAAATCTAAAAATTTGCAAACAATCGATATTAGGTACCTCTTGACCATCGATGACGTTGAGGCCCGAGGCACATCGATAATATAGAAATTTATGGACTAAAAATCATCGACGGTATTTGTTGACCATCAATGGGTTCTTCTTACCATTGATGGTCAATACCCACCATCGATGGTGAGAAGGTTAAAATCAGCTTCTGAGCTGATTTTCACGTATGTTTATCCTCATGCATTTTTAATACATGTATTTACTTATATTATATCATCTCACATAAATGTTAGTACCAAATAAGAGTTTGTTATTATTCAAACAAGATTACTTATATGGATTATGACCTAATAGGTGGCCCTTAGATTTAGAACCAGAATAGAGGGTCTCTAGGATCGATGACTCTACTCTGATAACATGTTGAAACAAAAGAAAGAGAAATAATTCTATATTCTCATTGATCTTGAAAAATCATATTTATACACATTGTAAAATCTTTATAAAAGAAAAACTCTAACACGACTAAAGAAAATTCCTATGTAAAGAGTACTAAAATTAGCTAATTCATCGAATCTTGACTTTTTTATAAAAGGCAACAAAATAATTCAAGTTTTTCTAATAAGGACAGTAAATCTTCTAAATCTTTCAATACATGCATTGAAGCATTAAACCCATGGAAAGAGACGATATTAATATTTCATTAATGCATGTCTCTCTCTCTCTCTCTCTCTCTCGATATAAAGTCCTTAATATATCAAATCATGAAAGAGATATCCTAAATGTGATAGAAATTAGAGATACTATAAATGACAAACTACTATGATGAAATCTGAAAATTTGCAAACAATCGATATTAGGTACCTCTTGACCATCGATGACGTTGAGGCCCCATCAATGGTTAAGAGGCACATCGATGATATAGAAATCCATGGACTAAAAATCATCGACGGTATTTGTTGATCATCGATGGGCTCTTCTTACCATTGATGGTCAATACCCACCATCGATGGTGAGAAGGTTAAAATCAGCTTCTGAGCTGATTTTCATGTCCGTTTATCCTCGTGCATTTTTAATACATGTATTTACTTATATTATATCATCTCACATAAATGTTAGTACCAAATAAGAGTTTTTTATTATTCAAACAAGATTAATTATATGGATTATGACCTAACAGGTGGCCCCTAGATCTAGAAATCAGAATAGAGGGTCTCTAGGATCGATGACTCTAATCTGATAACATGTTGAAACAAAAGAAAGAGAAATAATTCTATATTCTCATTGATCTTGAAAAATCATATTTATACACATTGTAAAATCTTTATAAAAGAAAAACTCTAACACGACTAAAGAAAATTCCTAAGTAAAGAGTACTAAAATTAGCTAATTCATCGAATCTTGACTGTTTTATAAAAAGGCAACAAAATAATTCAAGTTTTTCTAATAAGGACAGCAAATCTTCTAAATCTTCCAATACATGCATTGAAGCATTAAACCCATGGAAAGAGACGATATTAATATTTCATTAATGCATGTTTTTACGGTCAAACTAATTCAAGGCTCACACTTCAGCTCAACATTTATATATACGCCTCTACCCTCACTCAAACTCTCTCAACGCATCTCCATGGCTCAAATCCTTCCCTCCCTCCTCCTCCTCCTCCTCCCTCTCACAATTACTTCCGCCTCCACCACTAAACCCGGCTTCCACATCGAGCTCATCAACCGCTTCTCACCCCGCTCTCCCTTCAACACAACCAAATCCGGCAATCTCGCCCAACGACTCCTCCAACAATCACAAACACACTTCGCTCATCTCAAAAAGACCATATTCACTGGAGTCAACACGACGGCCATGAGACCTCCAATATTTGAGCAGGATCAACTTTACCTGGCAGTAATCGGCATCGGCACAGGAAACGAAGCTAAAGTGTACTATCTTGATATGGACACCGGCAGCGGCCTTACCTGGATACAATGCCAACCTTGCAACCCCTGCTTTCCTCAGACCACTGGGACTTTTAATCCTAGTACTTCTCCGACGTACCGACATATGCCCTGTGACGACCCACTCTGTGTGCGTCCATACGGGTGTATATTTGGTGTTTGTAAGTACATGCTTTCGTACGCTGATGGATCGTACATTACCGGTGATCTGTCGACAGAGACATTCAACTTTCCCACTTCGCCTTCTGGCGGGCAGTTTGAATCGATTCCTGACTTGGCATTCGGTAAGTAGCTAGCTATTAATATATCATGCAATATTGCACGAGGAATAGGGGGGGTCAGGATTGATCCTGCTGGCCTCATTTTTGAAAATATATGATATCTGCTTGGAAAAACTTAGGCTAGAACGGAGTTACGTGTACATCATCGTTGTATCACAATTTGACAAATATCTATCTAAAATCTCTCACAGGTTGCACCCACGGCAGCGGGGGGATGACCGGATACACAGGCGGCATACTCGGCCTAGATTCTAGCCCACAATCTATAATCAACCAGCTCATTGACCGTACCGGCGGTCTATTCTCCTATTGCCTATTCCATCCAACCGAAGCGTCAGGCGATAGCTACTTATCCTTCGGCAACGACATCGTAATGAATGGTCCGGTCCAAACAACTCCATTATTGGACAGTGATAGCTTGTACTATGTCAATCTCATCGATATCAGCGTCGCCGACCAGCGCCTGAATCTCCCGCCGGGGACTTTTGATCGTAAAGCTGATGGGACCGGAGGATGCATCATCGACTCAGGCGCCGCGATGAGTTACATGATCGCTGGAGCATATGATGTTATGAGGGGTGTACTCGTTGGCTATTTTCGAAGTCTCAATCTCGTTCGGGTAAGTCCCACGTATTTCCCATTTTTGTAAATCTTAGTTTTCTCGGGTATAGGTAAATTTAACAAAAAACCGCCCAAAGTTTTGATAATTTTGAGATTACAACTCCTAACTTTTCGGGCCTGTAACAAAACCCCCAATCACTTGCAATATTTTCAATATATCCCCTAATGACATAATGGGGGTTAAAAAACACTTTATCAAAATTTCATATTGATTTTCTTAAAATAATGTTAAATTAATAGTTACATCTCTTGAATTAGGTTAAAATATCCCCACCGACAACTCTCTTTTTCTCTCTACAAATTTTTTGCCTATTTACTAAGTAACTTAAATAGATACATACTAGTCATATTTTAAAAAATATTAGTCATAGAAATATATAGAACTATATTCCATAGTAGGAAATCCTAGGTATTATCTAATCCAATGTCCAGTAATATAGGATGAATTGGAAAATAGTCATATTTGACAGCTAAATCTGCAAATAAGATAGATTTGGCAAGTATCTAGGTAAAAAGGAGCATTTTAATTATTTCCATATTTATCCCCCACTCGGGCCACTCCCCCTAATCCTTCCATATTTTCAAGTTAGTCCCTCACATATTGATATTTTGAAATTAGTCCTCCAAATCTGTAAGTGTTTCGAAATGACTAAGATTTCGGAATTAATATGTAAAAATACCGATTTCAGGTAAACGGTGCAGATTTTGGAATGTCTGATTACAAGCTATGTTGTTTAATGCCGGCATCCGGTCTCGGCAATCTGCCGTCGGTGACTTTTCACCTACAGGGTGCGGATCTTCAGGTTGGGCCGAAGGAGTTGTACGTGACGGATGACCAACAGCGGGTTTTCTGTCTCGGGGTTTTTCGGAACAAGAAGACGACTGATATCGGAGCGCATCAGCAGTTCAACACGAGGTTTAAGTTCGATATTGTTAATATGGTCTTGTCGTTTGTTCCGGAGAATTGTGCTGCGCCTCAGTGAATTACGTTGTGAGGCAGAATAAAGAGTGCGAGAGGCTTTATTGGTAATTTGACGAGTGTTCTGTCTTGGTAATTAATGTAAGGGCACCTTGTTATTTGTTTGTAGGCATACAGAAGTTGAGATTTGAAAAAGGAGCTTTTGACTTTAGACTAGGGGTGCCAAACCGTATCCGTATCCGAGGAAATATCCGTAATTGTATCCGTTAGGATACGAATATGGTTACTCAAATCTATAACCAATAGGATATGATTACGGATATGGTTTTGTAGTGAAATATCCGTATCGTATCCGAAAATATCCGAATACATATTGGTCATACTCTTACGATATTTTCGAGTCTTAGATTATGGATTTGTGATTAATTTTGATGATCAAGATGTCTAATCTTAGCTTTTCAATCATAATGAACATTTTAACGAACTCTTTTTGTATCACATGACTATATTTTTCTGAATACTATCTAGTTTTCTAATATCCTTTTTGTATCTGCATGCATATCTGTTTATATATCCGCATCTATATCCGTAACCATATCCGATTTTGGCGGATATGGATATGAATTTTTCTTACCGACATATATCTGTATCCATATCCGTATCCAAGATGGGTAAGCGGATATGGATATGATAAGTGTCATATCCGAGCCATATCTGCTCCGTTATCACCCCTACTTTAGACCCAACGTTTTACCCAGATTTATTTTTAAATCTCGGTATTTTTATTTGTACTCAAATAGGTTTGTGTATTTGTCGTTAAACCAAATCTTCTAAATGTTGTGGGTCCAGCCTAAGATAAGACCCACATGAGATCCACATGAATTAAAATTCTATCTAGAAGAGAATTTGGAGGATCTAGTTGTAATAGGAATAGGTTTGAAGCACCTGAAAATAAAATTCCTTTATAAAGGAGTTATATGCATGAGGAACTAGTAATTTTTTTGGAGCTACAGTAAACAGTGAACTGTAAACTGAGAGAAAAAAATGGGGAGAGCAAAAGAGAGAGAGAGAGAGAGAGAGAGAGAGAGAGAGAGAGAGAGAGAGAGAGAGAGAGAGAGAGAGAGAGAGAGAGAGATTCCGGATAGCTAGATTGTCCGATAGCAGTGATTCAAAAGTCGTTATCTTCAGAATGATGACGGCGTCAAGAGTACGGTGTTAGTTTCTCCGCAGGTGTTGGAGATTTTTGGTGAGACGGATTTTAGAATTTTGGAGCCCTAGATGTAATATTGTATCTTTCTCTTATTATTTAATCCTCAAGTTCAGGTGAAACTTGGAGGGATTGTACTCTTGATTCATAGCGAAATATTTCTCTCTAGATTGTCCCGTGGATATAGGCATGATTTGCCGAACCATGTTAAATCTTGGTGTTTGCTTGCTTGTGGAATATTCATTGGTGTCGTTATTCGTTTAGTGTTTAATTTCACAGATTAATCTCCATAAAATCCCTAACAAGTAGTATCAGAGCCCTGAGGCGTGCTTTAGGATGAAAAAGATGGAGAGTTTTGACACAATGATAAAATTAGATGGTTCCAATTAGCAAGTATGGAAGTCCAAGATAGAAGATATTATGTATTATAAAGATTTACATGACTCTATTGAGGGAGATGAAGCTAAGCCAGAAAAGTTGATCAATAAAGAATGTGAGAAACAACATAGGAAGGTGATCAGTTATATTCGGATGTAGATAGACGTTATTTACTCGTGACTTAGCACACACGTCCATAAGTTTCTTATTATTATCAATGCATTTGTTTAAGATTGAATCTAATAAAGATATACGATTTTTCATGTGATTCAACTCATTATTAGGCACATATGCATTGGCAATAGAAGTAGAGAAAATATGATCATTCTTAAAAAAATTAAATATCTCTAATAGCTACTACTTCTACTATGGCAGCATTTTTATCATTAGATAAGCTAGCTATTTTAGAATTTAAATTTTCATTTTCCAAATTTAGTTTATCATTGTTTTCTTTAAGTGTCACATTTTCCTTAACAATGATATCTAATTTGGATGCTAGCATATCATGATCTGATTTTAAAGTTACATGCTTGCTTTTTAAATCAATAAAATTATGATACAATTTTTTATAGGTTAGTATTAATCTATTATAAGCACAAGCGAGTTCATCAATAGATAAGTCATCATCGGAATCAGACTTGCATACCTCACTAGGGCTATCGCTTAGTAACCGTATACATGATGAAGCTCCAATATCACTTGAAGTGAACTCCACCGGAATGCGTTGAAATTCCTCCAAGTTGTCGTGATGTGCTTCTATATGTTTTTATAAATTGTAAGGACTATCAAAATAAGCAAGTTTGTTAGAAATTGATGAATCAAAAGCATTAAGCAAAAATTCTAACAAAAGCTTGCTCATTGTAAACATTCTTTTGTCATCATGCTCCACTTTGATTTCTTCAATGTGGGCACAACACAAGCATAGCCAATTATTTCCCACAAATAGAGATGTTTAGATCAAACAAAAAGTTTAAATCTAACACATCATTGAGCATAAGGGAAATTATTCAACTTTAGAGCAATATTAATAGCATAACCTAAACTAGGTGCACTATGCATATCCATGATATATTATGCAAGCAAGACGAAATATCACAAAACTAAATTAGCAATAAATCAAAGTGAGGATCTTTTACTCAAGGCGATTAAGTCACAAATCAAAGAGTACCAAGTTCTGATACCAAATGAAAGTACCCAAGAGGGGAGGGTGGGGGGGGTGGGGGGGGGGGGGGTGAATAGGGTAATTGCTAATCTAATATGATATCGATGCTACATTAAAACTTATTACCTAATATATCCTAACAATGTGATATATAATGAGATATGCAAGGATATATAATTAAACTAAGGGTGATATAAACATGAGATAAAGGCGACAAGAAAGTATACAAGAGAATAAGTGTGCCAAGCCAAACTCAAACACAAACAAATGATCACGGAGTTTGGTCACACTCGACCTACGTCTCCGCTCCTCACCCTCGAGGAGAATCTCCATTATCAACACAAAAAGCTACACAGTCGGTTTTTAACGCTCACCGATAAATGTTTACAACTCACATAATTGTCAATACACAATACACTCCTCTAAGTGTTGGCCTAGCCTGTGTCACCTTCCTCAAGTGCTCGGAATTACCTCTCCCTAGGATTTACAACTGACGTCACTTCTCTTGGAATTGACCCCGTCTCTCACCAACCACTTCTCTAAGTGTCCTTATGTATTACAATGTGTTCTCTCAGCAATAAAGTGCAAATACAATGATTTGTTCTCTAACAAAGGTGAGAACAAAAATGTAAGCTCATTTAACTAATCACACTCTCAACCCAAGTATACTGTGTATGAAAAATACTTAAGCTCAATAAGGGTGTGTGTGAAACAATAAGTATAATGAGATTTAAACTCAAATTAATTTAGAAAAATATATATAAAAAACGATAATAATATTTACTTGAAGAAAGGAGTTTAGAAAACTTCTTCGATAAACAAGAGAGGTAGAAATTTGAGGTAGAGATCCCCAAATACTTTGTAGCAATTCTTCTCTTGTAAAACACAAATGAAATACTTTTTATTTATTTTTGGAACTCTTAAAAACTTATAAAACTTGTTCTAAACTTTCATAAATGAAACTAAGTGTTGAGGACTATATATAATCTCTCAACATATCAGCCCAAACCAGAGTAAATCATAAAAAATAAGGCAAAACCCATAAACGATAAAAATAGGAAAAACTAGCTGTTATTGCAACATATACAATATCGGACGACTGATAGACTTGTGTTAGTCTACCGATGGGTGCCTATCGGTCGACTGAAACATATGTATCGGTCGACTGATGAACGCATAAGCTTAGGCTAAAAAGTTTCTGGGCAGTCGATTGGTGGGCATGTGTCGGTCAATTGGAAGGAGAAAGAAAGCTACAATGAGATTTAAAAAAAGAAGGGATTTTCTTGCTTCGGTGTAGCTTTTGGAGCTTCTCTCAAATTTTGGCAAGCATATCTTTCCTCAAATTCTTTTTCTAAAATTTTTACCTTCATGCCATCATTTCTTATCTTTCAACTCTTTATTTTTCATGATCACTTTATTTTTCTTCATAATCGGCAAGTGTTCATTTCCTCACTTGATTTTATCTAGCAAGCGTATTTTTTTCTAAACCTACTTTCAAGACTTTTCTCCATATTCTTGATTTCTAAATATTAGTGTAGCCAACAGTTTTGTATGCTTTCTCTTAATTGTGAAAATAATATTGTCTGCTAGTGTTTTCTTAGGATTTCTTAGTACTAGGCCTAGTTGTTGTACTTTTTGACATTTCACTAATATATGACTTTAAATTTCCCATTGATGATCATATGCTTAAGTTATATTTTTCCTATGAAAATCACATGATGGATTTCCCTCTTATTTATGTCTTCTAGGATTTGTTGGTTATATCCAGGAGGCTATAGTTAAAGAATGTCAAAGATACCCACGCATACGCACCACTTGATCATGTTCAAGTAGAATGACGTGTAGATGCAACTCAATACTTTCCTCAGTCATAAAAACATAAGTGCTCAAACAACAAAAGATACTATTCACATAGATTATGATAGAAACCATATGATAACTCTTACTTTTGTAGGTTATGGATAATCAGTGATTGATTATTGAATTTTAGATATGGACTAAAGTCAGAAATATGGTCACAACACTGATACAGAATGAAAAGATTACATTGGCACACATGTATGTGGTTGAATTTGTATGTATTTAAGAATGAATGCATATATCTACATATCTATTATCTGTGTGTGCATATATGTGTAACATTGGTTAACTGAAATCCATCATATATTTAGATAAATTCTAGTCAAACTAATTTTATTGCTTGGAGTCATCAATGGACCTGCAACAAGAGGTCAGTCTCATGTATAGGAAGGCTCGTTGCTTGTTAAACTTTACCACATTAGAAGTCTTAAGTTAGCAAGAGGTGTGGTTTTAGACG